CAGCGTCTACAATGAGATCTTTAAGACGTAAGATTTAAGAAAGTGACCTATCGCGATCGAATGCGAGGAGAATAATCGACTGCGATTGGTCATTTTCTTAAATGTCACTCTCTAAAAGTCAATCAGTGCATTATAACTGTGAATCGGTGAATATTCGTTGTTTTCAATGATAATCCATCGATTGGCATTTAGAGAGTACGTCTTAAAAGTCTAAAGCCTTGTGTGCAAGTTCTAGTTCCGAGAAATGTGTAGCCAATCAACTTGCATCTTTTACGGAAAAGCTTGACACTTGTTGGGTCGTGGACACAATGCTTTACGTCGAGTCTGACACAGGTGTAGCAAGCCTTAAGCCGTAAGAGATTGATCAATCACAGTCGAAAGTGAGAAGAATAATCGCCTGTGATTGATCACTTTCTTACGGCTTAAGGCTTACTACACCTAATTGTAGACCCGGCCTTATTGTAGACGCCGCAGTAGGTTAACGTGTCCGTTAATTAACCGTCTCCCACGCTTAAGTACACTCGTCTACCGTCTTACGTCGCATCGAGTTTCCCCTGGATGTTGATGGTGTCGCGGAATGCTGATCGCGATGAAAGACGCGAGATTTGGCTCCCAGTAAACAAATCGACACAACACCGCCGCCTCGCTGTTCTCGGACGGGTTATTTACATCACGCACGGCGTTGCAAATTACGACGGTTATTAGCGTTTGTTAAGCCTCACCGGTTTCATCAAACGTCGTTTAACTCGAAGAACTTAGCTTAATTCGTTCTTTGTCTCCTTCCAACGGTTACTCTAGAAAGAGACAAACGTGAATTAAACTAAGATTGAACATAAGTAACGCTTGACGAAACCGGGTCTTAGGCCCATTTTCACCAATGTCGCTTAATTTAAGCTTAATTCAATTCCTTCTTTGTCTCCTTACAACTGTTACTTTAGAAAGAGACAAACACGAATTGAACTAATTGTAAGATTAAACTTATGCAACGTTTGATGAAACCGGGCCTTA